CACAGTGCTTGGAAGAATGCAAAAGAAGATCCGGTCAGAAAGATAAGCAGATGGAGCTCCGCTTTCATAGGTCAAGTGGCGCAAATATCTATTCCAGAAACAACATTTCTAAGTTACTGAATGAATTCACACAATGAAAACCATGAAGAAGAAGTACCAACAGTCGTCCATGACTTTCTCAACTCCTAGTAGGCTTTTTACAGTTTAATTCACTGTATGATGTACTAGATGATAGGAACATCTCTGAGAGAAAGTTTTGTGTACCTGCTGGTACATACAGAATTGTATACTTCATTTCACACAAATATTGAAATCTAAGATCAAAACTAAGTCCATGGTTTGTTTCCTTAGTATCTCAAACTGGAAAAAACTTACAGGAAACTAGAATGAATAACATCAATAATTATGATACAAACAACTTTTCTTTACTTATGTGGCGGGTTTAGTGGGATAGAGTTAAATTGGAACTGTGATGAAAACAGCAACACAGACACATTTTAGCTATTGCTGAGCAGGGCTTACAGAGTCAAGCCCTTTTCTGCTTCTCACACTACCCCACCAGTGAGGAGGCCGTGGGTTCACAAGGAGTTGGGAGAGGCCACAGCCAGAACAGCTGAGCCCAACTGACTAAAGGCACATGACGTCATGCTCAGCAAGAAATGCTGGGGGAAGAAAGAGGAAGTGGGAAGTTTGGAATGATGGCATTTGTCTTCCCAATTGCCCATTAGTTGTGATGAAGTTCTGCTTACCTAGAGATGGCTCTAAACACCTGCCTGCCAATGGTAAGCAGTGTGTGAATTCTCCATTTTGCTTTATTTGCATGCGCAGTTTTTGCATTTCTCTCAACCTATGAGTTTTCCCATTTTCACCCTTCTGATTCTCTCCCCCATCTCACCAGGGCTGATCAGGAGTGAGTGAGTGGCTGTGTGGTGCCTACTTGCTGGCTGGGTTTAAACCACACCACCAACATCTTGGTTTAAGTCTGTGCTCAAAAGATAAGACTGTCTACGCGTGCACTGCACAAACATCTGAGCAGATGTTGCATATGTATGGATGTGCTTACTAAGCATTATCCAAAGTACATATTTAAATATTGAAGTTTGCTTATAAAAATCTGTGAAGTGTTTCACAAACAAAAGGGAACATATAATGAACATCTGACTACACGTGCTCATTCTTCTAAACTCATTTGACCTATTTAAGGTAATACACAATGCACACACCTAACGCACAGGCACGTCAGTTCAAGTATAGTTTAGCTACTGTAGTAGCTCTAGTTAGGCAGATGTTTGTGCAGCTGCAATGAAATGAGAAGTCCTCCTCCAAAACCACAAAAACTTCTAGGCAACAGAGAAACTTTGTGTAAGTTTTTCTTACCATCAGCAATGCACTGTACTCGTTCATACTCCTCAGTCAAAGGTCTGCCGGAATGCCAGTGATGAAGCTCATCAAATTCCTTGTATGTAATAAGTGAAGTAACTGCAGGATCATTGCTGAAATATACAAACATTAAACAGAGCAGAAATTAAAAGGATTTTCTGGCATCTCTAATGAAACATTCAGAACATTAAAAAACCTGGTTATTTATGAAAACACAATTTTTCTGTGGTGTAAAACCAACATAGGGATTAATTTTGCTCCAGAGACGGTGTATCAAGATAGCCTCAGTTTTTTCAGGAAGAATTACTAATTACTTATTTTCACACAGATTAGTCACAGAATGTAATGCAACTATGAAATTCACACACTGGCAAAAAAATACTGATTGCACAGCAGAGAACATCCTTCCACGAGTAGCAGAGCAAATGTAAAGCATAATCTCTTATTACTTTTTTTTCAGTATCTTTAACATTTTTTCTTTTCTTGAAATCAATCTGAGCTTTAGGATAAGGTCTTGCAAATACAAATTGTACATTCAGAAAAACAGTTCCAGAATGTAGAATAAAAATAAAATTATATAATGCAAACAAATAGCAGTATGAGAAAATATAGATATATTGACTTGTTCATTCTTGTTCTGAACTTTCTGTTAATATTTACATTACTACATGTAAATGTGAAATTTTACCCAATCACAGCAAATGCAGTTCTACATTTGTAGAAATTGAGGAGAAAATGGATGTAAAGCACAGTGGAGTAGAAAATAAGCCCATATAATGTTATTTTATTAGAATAAAACTCATATATGTACCTTTCCAAAACTGGTAGATCTTTCAAAACATCTCCAAGATACTCTTCAATAAGATCAGACTTCACTGAGATTAGTCCAATGTTAGGCATTTCTTCTTCATAAACTTTACAATGTAAAAATAATTAACATGTTTGATTAGGAATATAAATATAACTGCATATCATACCTGAAACTTCCGTTGTTGCATTATAAATGAAATTCTATAAAGTAAAACTTGCTAAAAGTAAGCAGCAGTTCACTAATTCCCTTCTTCCTGTTTCTTCTCAAGCATGGGAAAAAGAATGAGGCAGACATTATTATTGCTTCCAGGTAGATATTTTCATAATCCATTTTAGGCAGCTATGCTAACTTTTTGAATGCTACAGCCCATCCCATCTCATGGGCATCTACTTTCCTGCGCTGATTCCAAAAAGACCACAGTCCCCTAAATGTGCACTTTCAAACTGCACTTATGTTAGATGACTAAAGATGACATGTAGCATTGTGCATCCTTCCCACATTTCAAGTCTTGTCATTATTTCAGTCTTCAAGGTGTCCAAAGGAGAAACAGAAATAGGCAACACAAATGCCATGCCAGAAGATGCCTTAATATCCCATAGATAACAAAGAGCCCAATTTGGCTCACTTAACATCTTTGAAACCAGCTGAATACCCACAAAATTAAGTAGAATTCTATTCCAGCCTTTACTGAATTTCTTACCATCTCTTCTAAAGGTTTATACAATTTGATAGGTTTTAAAAAGATATTTCAAGGTTATTATAAAACTAGTTCTCAAGAAAAGTCAGGTAACAGGCAAAAATTTCTACCTACTCCTTTCAGACATTCAGAACAGGTCTTGTAGCTGAGGAAAGAAAACAATCTCTGAGTCAGCTATGCAATTCCCCAGTTAAGGGCGACTAAACAGGCTGGTGGTATAATTTAAGACGCTTACGGGCAAGTCACACTTCTACAGCCTTCAAGGACTGCAATGTGAGTTATAGTAATGCCTGGACTCCCTACCATTAGGGCAACAATTCTGTATTTCACTTAATCTGCTGCTCCCATGCCCAATACCTGCATAACCCTGTGTGCTGGGTTTGCCTGGCTAGATTTCGGGGGAAGAGGGGGGAACACTGTAGAGGTGGCTTCTGCAAGAAGTTGCTAGAAGCTTCCCCAAGGTCTGATAGAGCCAATGCCAGCCGGCTTCAAAGACAGTCCTGCCGCTGGCCAAGGCTGAGCCTATTAGTAATGACAGGATAGGAACGCCTCTGTGAAAACTTATTTAAGAAACAGGGAAAAAAGAACTGCACTCAACAACTGGCAGAGAGATGGAGGAGTGGGAATATGTGAAAACGGCAAGGTCAGTGAAGAAGCAGAGGGGAGGATGTGTTCCAGGCGCCGGAGCTGAGATTCCCCTGACCCATGGTGAAGCCCATGGTGAGGCAGGCTGTACCCTGCAGCCCATGAAGGTGATGGGGTGTAGATGTCCACCTGTAGCCTATGGAGGACCCCAGGCCAGAGCAGGTGGATACAGGAAGGGGGCTGTGACGGAGGCCCGTGCTGGAGCAAATCACGGCCAGAGCCTGCAGCCTGTGAGAAGAGAGAAGCCCACACCAGAGCAGGTTGGCTGGCACGACTCTGTGACACCGCAGGGAACCCATATTGAAGTAGTTTGCCCTGTGTCTTGGGTTACAATATGTAACCAA